TGTGATTATCGTGGGTGTGCCCAGAAGGGCTCAGAAACTGAAACAACAGCTGCTCACAGCTGGGTTTTCCACTCCATGGCTCTGCTACTAATTTTCTGAGCAACTCTGGAAAAGGTACTGCCTGTTCTTATTCTTGTGTGAAGATGGGCCTTCGAGACTTTAATATTATAAAATAAGAAGACTTAGGTCAGACTAAGTGTGACCAAAGAGATAGCTTGTTATCTCTTCTCCTTCTCCTTCATAGATGTGGTGGCCATTACTATTATTTCACATATTTCCTGGAACTCTTGCTTTTGTGTACATAATAAGTTTGTACTTCTCTACAATTAATTGGTAGTTAAGTGTGGTCATGTGACTTGCTTTAGTCAACTAAATGCAAGCATAAGTGATGCGTGTTACTTCTGGGTAAAAGATATAAGAGCTAGTGTGTGCTTTGCCATATTTTCTTTTTTCATCTGGCATGGTAACAAGCAACATTTGAGCTAGTGATTGCTACATCAGCCTGGGTCTCTGAGTAACTATAAGTAACAGAGCCCCCTGCTGAGCTGCAATGGACATGGAACATGAGCAAGAATATAGCTTTGTTTATTATATTGGAGTTGTTTGCCATTGCAACATAATCTAGTCTACCCTAATATAACTGGAACTTCTACTCAATAGACCATATGCTACCATTTAAAATTCTGTTTTTGAGGACTAATAATATGGGGAAATGCTTTCTATATAATAAAAAGAAAAAGTAAGGTACGAAAATATATTTACCATGTTATTAATGCTCCATTTAAAAAATGGTTTTACTATACCTACCACACCGCCTTTCTCCCCAAAGGGTGAAACAAAAACATTAAAATACCCATAACTATTATCTTTACTTTATGGAACCATGTATTGTTTTCTTCTTATGTGTCCTGAACTTTCTCTGAAGTTTAATACATCTTTAACTGTTCCAATGTATCACTTTTAATTACCCAGGGATGCTTACTAGATAAAGAATTAATTTTCTGAAGCCCTTTTACTACTTCTCCCACCCCCTGCTCACCGTTCTATATCCCAATAGTCAAATGCATTACATAAGACTCTTCATTGGGCCCTTGTCAACCCTAAGGAGGGAAATACTATATGCCCTTTCAATGACACCTACCAATATCTTAGTTGCCTTTCAGAGATTCTTAGCCCAGCCAACCTGGAAGGGATGAATAGGTACTGCAAGGATGTAAAACATGAGGTGACTTGCACAAGGTCATCTTATAACTTAGTGGTAGAACTAAGGTCACCTGAGTCCTTGTTTATGGCACACTGTCCTTTCCTTTTGTGTAAATTCTTCTTGCAGCTAACCTCACGCACTTGTGTTACTGTTTGGGCTCATGGCTTCTTGCTTTTATACAAGCAACCAAGCTGTCAACCAGTAAAATTATAGTCATGGATTCTGATGCCATAGGTATATTCCATGCTGCCTTTTAAAAATATTTACTCTAGTCATCAAGTTGTGGTTTGTTAGAGCTTACAAGCCTGACTTCCTCATTTTAGAGATAGTGAGATTGAGTCTAAGGGATGTTAAGAAAAACACAGAATTTCCTGACAAGAGGAGGGCATAAGTAGACGTGCTTTGTCTCCTTGTGCAACCATAAGAAGGATCACAAATAACCTCAAAACAAGAAACACCCAGAATTTCCAGAAAATCAAACTGTATGGAAATCTGACATCCAAAGATTTAAAGAAGCCATATTCATCTTAACCAGTAGGGGGGCGGGGACGGGGAGCTGAGGTGGAAAGGACACGGTGTGGTGGGGGCAAGGCTGTGGCAGCAAGGCTGTGGCTGCAAGGCAGTGGCCAGCAGAACAGGCAGTCCCACATTCACGAGTCGTAGATAAAAATCAGGAGGGATACCTTGGGAGCAAGTGATCCCAGCCCCAAGCCAGTCTGCACAGCCCAGGGTTCCACTGCCAGGAAAATAAAGCTTCATAACTTATGGCTGTAAAAAACACTGGGGGTTGGAGCTGCAGAAGAAACTGCCAGTCTCTCAGGAGAGTCCATTTAAAGGGTCCATTCAGTCCTGAAATGTATGCAAACCCACTCACTTTGGGAACCACCACCAGGGCAATAGCTAGAAGGGTGCCAGTCACATATGAGAAGTGGGCGAAGTGAATGGAAACGGGGCTGGTGCCCAGCAATCCTCCAGCAGCCAGGCAGCTGCATTGTCTTCTTCCCAACCCCTCCCTCACATACAGAGCCACAAAGTGGTGAAGTAGGTTGCCCAACCCTGACAAATACCTGAGGCTCTGCCCTATACAACTTAGCAGGTGCTAAGACACGGAGGCAAAGCAGCTCTACCTAATACACAGAAACAAACACAGGGAGGCTGCCAAATTGAGGAGACAAAGAAATATGGCCCAAAATGAAAGAAGAGGGAAAAAAAAACCCAGAAAAGGAACAAAATAAAACAGAGATAGCCAACCTATCAGATGCAGAATTCAAAACACTGGTGATAAGGATGCTCAGAGAACTTAATGAGTATGGCAAACACATAAAGAAAAAAGTGAAGGCTACACTAAGTGAAATGCAGAAAAATCCACAGGGAACCAACAGTGAAAGGAAGGAAGCCAGGGTTCAAGTCAATGATTTGGAACATAAGGAAGAAATAAACAATCAACCAGAACAGAATGAAGAAACAAGAGTTCGAAAAACATGAGGAGAGAATAAGAAGAGTCTGGGACATCTCCAAAAGGGCCAACATCTGAATCATAGGGATGCCAGAAGGAGAAGAGGAGGAGTAAGAAATTAAAAACTGATTTGCAAAAGGAATCGACATACAAGTCCAGCAATCACAGAGAGTCCCAACAAGATGGATTCAGAGAGGCCCACTCCAAGACACATCATAATTATGATGCAAAAGTTTAAAAATAAAGGAAGAATCTTAAAAGCAGCAAGAGAAAAGCAGGGAGTTACCTACAAATGAGTTCCCATAAAACTATTAGTTGATTTCTCAAAAGAAATTTCACAGGCAAGAAGAAACTAGCAGGAAGTATTCAAAGTGATGAAAAACAAAAACTTACAACCAAGATTACTCTACCTAGCAAAGCTGTCATTTAGAATGGAAGGACAGATTAAGTGCTTCCCAGACAAGAAAAAACTAAAGGAGTTCATCATCACCAAACCATCATTATATGAAATGTTGAAGGGACTTATTTAAGAAATAGAAGAAGATCAAAACTATGAACATTAAAATGACAACAAACTCACAGCTATCAACAACTGAATCTAAAAAACAAAAACAAAGACAAACTAAGCAAAAACTAGAACAGGAACAGTATCATAGATAATGGAGATCATTTGGAGGGTTATCAGTGGAAAGGGGGAAGGAGGAGAATGGGGAAAAATGTACAGGGAATAAGAAGCATAACTGGTAGGCACAAAATAGACAGGGGGAGGTTGACAATAGTATAGGAAATGGAGAAGCCAAAGAACTTATATGTATAACCCATGGATATGAACTAAGAGGGGGATTGCTGGAAGGAAGGAGGAACCAGGCAGAGGAAGATAAAGGGGGAAAAATTGGGACAACTGTAATAGCCTAATCAATAAACTATACTTTAAAGGAAAAGGAAAAGGAAAACACAATGTCTTGCTATTCCCTCTATAGTGCTACTCACTCATTCATTCATTCATCCACTCTCAAACATGTATTAAGTATCTGCTGTTTTCAAGATTCTATGTCAGGTAGACTGTTTGGGAATTTTAAGAGTAAATTAAGTACAACATTAATCATCCAAGATCCATACAATTGAGTATTGGAGATAAGGTACTCAAAAAACTGTTCTTATTGGCCTAAGTTAAAATTAAAATAAAAGACTTTAGCTTTCTATGTATCTCCCAGCAATTGATCCAGTCTCTGTGTTGCTTTGTTTGTTTGTTTGTTTGTTTGTTTGCACGAGCCTTTTGTCTAGATAGAGGGGACATAGGAGATAAGGCTGAGAGGCAGGGAGACATGGGGGATCTGCAGGAAAAGGCATGTGATCCCAGTTGGAAAAGAGCTAGGTGTAACACTAGAGGAAAGACTTCTGGGGACATATTATGAGCCATGGATTTCAGTCAAAGGAGATTAGATTTTACTCATTGGGTGTGGATGTCTTGGTCAGGTCTCAGCAGGAAATCGAGGGCTTACACAGCAGGGGTGACAAAGCAATTTTACAAGTTTTTACTATTTACAAAGACATGAGTAGGGTTTGGCAAGGTCAGCAAAAGATATTAAACACTCTGGAATTAACAAAAGCAGGAAACACTTAACCATCCCTAGGCCTGAAGGGGAAAAAGAAGGGTGCGGTTACCAGAACTCTGGTGAGGATAGCAAGAGGACAGGGACACCCAAAAAGGAACTATGGCCTTTAACAGAGGGATAAACTCAACCTGCAACCTGTCTGGGAGGTCGCTGAGGAATACATACCCCAACCTCCCTCTGCCACCCACTGTGATCCCCTTTCTGTCCTAGGCTACTAGGGGAAAGAGAGCCCAGTGACACAGTCCACAATGTCATCCTCCTGGGACATGAGCAGGATAGGGCAGGGTGGAGATGGAGTCTCTGGGAACAAACAGAAATATCTGGCACAGTGAGGAACTATAAATGATTCTGAATAGGGGAGACCCGTGAACTATGTTTCAGTAGCACTGAGCCATCTGCAGTCCAGAGAATGGAGTGAAGAAGGCTCTTGCTATCGGTCTGGAGAGAGAGGTCAAAGACTTAGGGCAATGGCGGCGGTTGTGGGCGGGGAGGGGGGGGGAGGGGGGCGGGGGGGCGGGGGCGGGGGGCGGGGGGCGGGGGGGGCGGGGGCGGGGGGCGGCGGGTAGAAAGAAAGGTTTTGAACCAAGCTGCCTCCAAATAGATGAGGTGTGGTATTTTTTTTTTCCCTTCAAGTAGTTTCTCACTCACTCCAATCTGTGTTTGAGAAGTTCTTTATTTTCTTATTAGAAAAGTGATTTTCCTGTTCGTGGACTTTTCTCCTCAGATTTGAACATGTGTGTCCAGAGCCGAGGTGAGTTGATGGGACATCCTCAAGAAGTTTCTGGATCCTGAATGAGAATCCCTTGGCCCACAGAGCTTGTTTATAGTGTTCAAATGCATTGTATGACCCAGCACTTTAATCCGGTGACTGCAAAAAGGCTAATTAGCCCCTGGCCACAGTGTGCTGAGAGGGAGTCGGGCAGCCCACCCCCTCGCGGATCCGGCTCTCACCTCAGCAGTCTGTGACTGAGCAAGCACGGCGGCACTTTAGAAAATGACCGCATTGGATCCTGGACCCCAGTGAATGTCCCAAGGCTCCTTCTTGCTTTCAGACTGAAGAGTTCTAAAGTGATTTCCAGAAGAAGAGATAAGTGGAAATTTTAGTTACGGAAAGAGACGGATGGCCAAGAGTTATTTTTATCTATTGTTCCCTCTGTATACTGGGAAAGCCTATTGAGACTATCAACTCACAGACTGCGCTTTACACAAAATCAAGCCATAATTTACATGTTTTATGGTTTACTAGAATCTTGAATGTATTTGGGTTCTAATTAACAGGGAGCATGTAAGTACACAGAAGGCCCAGCTACAAATTGTGGAGAAATGTCATAGTTAAAAATTTTGGCATGCAGTTATGTTGCAAAGATCTCAGATGAGTAGCCATAATTGGTCAAATCCCCAAACAAACGCTTATTTCCTGGCCCTCTATATGATTTTATTTTTTTTAAGTGTCAAATCATATTTTATTTTTAAGGTTTAATATTTAAGTGCTTTTTAAATTTTAAAATAGTTTTAAACTTATCCCAAATTTCTCAGTATACAAAGATTTTTTTTTTTCCTGAGCCATTCAGAAATATCAGCACTGGTTGAGTTAGTGTGCATTCCTGACAACAAAAAACATTCTCCCTTGTAACCACAAGATTACCATCTATTGGGGTATATGATTTTAAACTTGCCCTTTAGTGGCTCAGTTTCCATGTCTGTGATACCAACTAGTCATCGCCTTTGATTGTTGGCACTATAGAAATCCTGTGGGATCCCATTATGTATATGACAAGGTGGGGTGGGGGGTGGGTAAATGGGCCCACCAGCAACAGTTTAATCATGTTACATTTGATCTCTGTGATGGGGCCATGAAACACAAGGCATTAGTTGACCCATGAACCATCCAAATAGAAATGTAAATGTAAGTGTAAATATAAATATAAATATAAATATAAATATAAATATAAATACAAATACAAAAACACTCACATATGCGTATAACAGTCTTTGGTCAGTAGGCCTAAAGCAAGTTCTTAAACTGGTGCTCAGACTAAGGAGAATTTGGAGTTAAGGGGAATGAAGGGTGTGAAAGAATAGCGGTTTGATCTCCAAAATATATAAAGAACTCACATGACTCCACTCCAAGAAGACAAACAATCCAATTAAAAAATGGACAAAGGACCTGAACAGACACTTGTACAAGGAGGACATACACAGGGCCCAGAGACATATGAAAGGATGCTCAGCATCACTAGCCATCAGAGAAATGTGAATTAAAACAACAATGAGATACCACCTCACACCGGTCAGAATGGCCATCATAAACAGATCAACAAACAGCAGGTGCTGGCGAGGCTGTGGAGAAAAGGGAACCCTAGTCCACTGTTGGTGGGAATGCAGACTGGTGTAGCCACTGTGGAAAGCAGTGTGGAATTTCCTCAAGAAGCTAAAAATGGAACTGCCTTTTGTCCCAGTGATTCCACTGCTTGGATTATACCCTAAGAATCTCAAAATGCCAATTCAAAAGAATCTACGCACCCCAATGTTCATAGCAGCACAATTTACAATAGCCAAGTGTTGGAAACAACCTAAATGCCCATCAGGAGATGAGTGGATCAATAAACTGTGGTACATTTACACAATGGAATACTACGCAGCAGAAAGAAAAAAAGAACTACTACCCTTCGTGACAGCATGGATGGAACTAGAGAGCATTATGCTAAGTGAAATAAGCCAGGGGACAAAAGACAAATATCATATGATCTCACCTATAAGTGGAATCTAATCAACAAAACAAATAAGCAAGGAAAATATGACCAGCAACATTGAAAGAAAAAGGAAATGAACAGAGTCAAGAGGGAAGGAGGGAGGGGTGGGCAGGGAAAGGGAAGGGAAGGGAAGAGTGAAGTCAAGGAACATGTATAAAGGACCCATGGACAAAGCCAAAGTGGGGAAGGATTGAGGGAAGGAGGTGGGGGATGGGGACAGGGGAAAGTGGTTGTGGGAAGGTGTAGACAAATGTATTTAAACAAAAAATTTTTTAAAAAATGAGTAAAAGACAACTTATATAACACCTCAGTTCCTCCACTCCCTGTCTGTACAGATCAAAGAATACCTTTGATCTGTTTATTTTTCAAAGTGTTTCAGATATTCTACTTTTGGCTAAGTGCCCATCCAGGGCCCGTCCAGATCAGTACGTTTAATATTCCATCAGGCTGGTTGGCTCCTATAGGTTTGAAAGCCTTTCACTTGACTTTCTCTTCATAACGGTGGGGTCCCAGAGCTGTTCCCCAGGTTCTCTGTGTTGGTCTAATGTCCTTGCTGGTAGAGCAGCATCTCTTAATGCTGTAGAGATCAGGGCAGGTAGACAAGGCCTTCTCCCTGGGGAAGCAAGCCCATCTATTCTGAATCCTACCTCCCCCTTGATATGTGGTTAGCATGCTAAATACTTGGGTGGTAGTGTTTAATTTAGGAACCCAATAGCATCATGGTTTCTGTCAAAATTCCACCATTTTTGATCCTAGATTGGGGCAATTCTCTAGAACACCAAATAGTGAGAGGGATCCTCCCCAGATCCAACATCCTGAAATTCATGCTTCTTCAGGAAAGAAGATTATAAAGTAGTGAGTCCTAGTGTTAGAAATGTTCTATACCAGTGGTCCCCAACTTTTTGGCACCAGGGACCAGTTTTGTGGAAGAGGGAGCAGGGGGCAACATGAGGCAGAACTCAGGCAAGCTTTGTCCGTGGCCCGGGGGTTGGGGACCCCAGTTCTATACTACAGCATGCTCTCATAGTGTCTAACAATTATCAAGTACTTACTATATGCCCAATATTATTTAGTACTTTGTATATATTATTGGAATGAATTCTACCTAAACCCTCTGAAAAAGGTACTATTTATGTCTCCATTTTAAAGATAAGGAAACTGAGGCACAGAGAGATTAAGAAATGTATTAAGGCTGCCTGTTTAATTTGGAAGAGATAGAGCTAATACAATGAAATCATGTTCATTGTACTGGTAATGTGTCCGGATTTCCTACCAAGTAGAACTTTACTGATTACGTATATCCTGTGATTTCTTTTGCTAGTCAAGGATTCGCTTTACTCTTACTCAATCCAGAGAGGCACTATAGGAGGCGGGATGGAGTGAGGCTCTGTCCTCAGAGATTCCAACCCCATTTTGAATATATATGAGTTATGCAACTTTGGATATCTCAGTCAATCTCTCTAAGCATCAGATTCCTTATCTAAAAAATGAACAAAAAGAGTATTCAGCACCTTCCTTTATGAGGCACTCACTGTGTGTGACAGACAGTAAATATCTGATAAATATGTGGTTAGCATGCTAAGTACTTGGGTGGTAGTGTTTAATCTTAGGGGAGGGGTGTAATAAGGGAACTAAATGGTAATGGAAAAAATACAATAAGATTAAATTTTTTAAAAAATCAAGTGCCATTGATAATCCATGCCAGCTACTATACTTTGCTAAATAGGCAGTGCCTGGACCCTATCAGAGCTGCGGAATGTTTCTCCTAAATCCTACTCCTAAGGGATTTCCAAGGAATTTCCATCCAAAAGATACCAGCATCACTTTCTCATCCCATGTACAAGTTCTCCTTTATACAGAACACCTCCTTTCTGGGACCTCATTTCTCCCTGGCAAAATTCTATCCATCCTTCCAATGCCAGTTCTGCCAGTGAATATTTTCTGATTTTCCCCAACTGAATATGAACTCTTGTTTTGGGCACAGTAGTGTTTTCTTTGTTCCTCTCTGGAGCAGCTGTCTTTCTCAGTTTTGAGTCACATGCATTTAAGCATATATTTGGTTTCCCCCTTAGACTGTAAACTCCTGGAAAGCAGGGAGATTGTGGGATTTTGTTATTCCTGGAACATCCTGTGTGTGATAGATACCTCATGCATGATTGGCTATGAGAATCATTACAATATTGAGGAGAATGCTACACTTTTTATGATCTCAACATGATTGGTTAAAATGTATATAAATGGCCATCTTTAAAATAAAAGAACTAGATGAATTTTAAGTCTTAAAAAAAAAGTACCTTTTACAGAGGAAGCAAAAACAGTATTTGGGAGAGTTTGAGGAATTGAGAAAGACCAAACAAACAAAAATCACCTATGATCTCATTATCCAAGCAAACATATTTTCACTTTTGCTGTCAACATTTGCTCTTCATCCAGACATGTACAAAATTTCAGCTATAGCTGTAGCAAGTAATTTTCTATCCTCTTTTCAAATTTGTTACTGTATCATAAGTTCACACCTATGTTGCTGACTGGTCTTCCTAATTATCACCTTTAATGATTCATGACGATGAAATGGAATTGGGCCCAAACTCTACTTATCACCGGGCCACTATAAGCTATTATCCCCTTATCTGTGGAAGAGATGTTCCAAGATGCCCAGTGGATGCCTGAAACCACAAATAGTGCTTATATATACTGTCCTATTTTTTTTCCTACACAAACACAACTATGATGAAGTTTAATTTATAAAATAGGCACAATAAGAGGAACAACAATAACTAATAGTAAGATGGCAGCCTAAGATGGGAAACACAGCTCACCTCCTCACACAACCATACTAAAATTACAACTAAACTACAGGACAACCATTATTCAGAATCACCAGATATCAAGCTGAATGGAAGTCCTATAGCTACAGAATTAAAGAAGAAACCACACTGAGACTGGTAAGAGGGAGTGGAACACGCTGGTCCCACATCGATGTGTGGCAGGTAAAAATCAGGAGGAATGTCTAAGGAGTGAGAAGTCCACAACAGGCACCCCCATCCTAGGGGTCCAGTGCCAGGAAGATAAGTCCCTATAACTTCTGGCTATAAAAAACAGTGGGGATTGAGGCTGTGGAAGACAGAAACTACTGGACTCCTTGGCAGTTCCTCTTAAAGGGCCCATGTTCAGACTTACTTGGACTCAGTCCTTCTGAGCTACAGCACCAGGGCAGCAGCTTGAAAGGCACTAGCGGTACATGAGGAAAAACTAAAGTGTCTGGCATCAGGGCAAGAGCTGGGGGACAGCTTTCTCCCAGACAGAACTGCTGGCAGAAGCCATTTTTCTTTCTCTGAGCCATCCCACAACACACAGAGCTAGCAGGCGGGTGCCATATCTGAGTCTCCATCAACTTGGCTCACACCATTTGCCCAACTCTAGTGATTCCCTGAGGCTCTACTCTACCCAATTTTCAGGCAAACCCAAGCTGTTTCCAGTGGCTTTTCCATACAAATGGTTTGACTTGGCTCATGCTTCAGATTTTCCTAAATCCTCTCAGACAAGAAGCATCTAACCTCAGCAAGCCCCATACCTCTTGATAAGTGGCCCCAGGCCAGGCAATTGAAGCAGGTAGCATGGCCCTCAGCTTGGCCCTCACTTGGGCCACATCCAAACCCAGTACAAGTAGCAGATATTTGCAGACTGCTTTGTATCTTATGCCAGGTGGACCCAGACAGAACACAAGCAGGGGATGACCGTGGTCTGCACCTCCCAAGGAGCCCCAGATCCAGCATACCCAGTGGACAGCAAAAGACCATGTGGGAGTGACACCACTCAATCACTTCCACAGGTGACACACTCAAGAGGTAGACTCAGCAAGCACCAGAGCCCAGCTGAAATAAGTCTTGCTCTGGAGGGTGGGTCTCTGGACAGTTGATTTTCCACAGTGGTCAGATGTTGGTGATCAATGGTCACAGCCAGTCCTTGCAGCTGATTGGCCTGGGAAAATCACTCCCATTGACCTGCCAACAGCAATCAAGTCTTGACTACAAGAGGAGGATGTACTCAGCCCACACAGTGAGTGCACCTCAAGTACCCAGCTTGTGGGATAAGGGAGGCTTTGCTACTGAACTCTATAGAAGGATGCCTACTATATTAGACCACCCTACCAAGCCAGGGAGTCCTGGCAGCTCTACCTAATACATAGAAACAAACACAGGGAGGCTGCCAAGATGAGGAGACAAAGAAACATGGCCCAAATGAAAAAACAGATCAAAACTCCAGAAAAAAAAAGCAAACAAAATTTAGACAAACAATGTACTAGACAGAGTTCAAAACACTGGTTATAAGGATGCTCAGAGATCTCAGGGGAAGAGCAGATGAACTCAGAGAGAACTTCAACAGTATAAAAAGGACATGGAAACTGTGAAAAAGAACCAGTCAGAAATGAAGGATTCACTCACTGAAATGAAGAACAATTTACAGGGAAACACCAGTAAAGTGGATGAAGCTGAGAACCAAATCAGTGATTTGAAATATAAAAAAGCAAAAAATACCTAATCAGAACAACAACAAAAAGAATCCAAAAAACATGAGGGTAGTGTAAGGAGCGTCTGGGACAACTTCAAGAATACCAACGTGTACATCACTGGGGTACTGAAATGGGACAAGAGAGCACAAGAAATTGAAGGCCTGTTTGAAAAAATAATGATAGAAAACTTCCCTAATATGGTGAAGAAAATAGATATACAAGCCCAGGAAGCACAGAGAGTCCCAAACAAGATGAACCCAAAAGGGCCCATACATCATAATAAAATTTCAAAGTTTAAAGACAAAGAGAGAATCTTAAAAGCAGCAGAGAAAAGCAGTTAGTTACCTCAAGGTAGCTTCCATAAGGCTGTCAGTTGATTTCTCAAAAGAAACTTTGCATGCTAGTAAAAATATTGGCAAAAAATATTCAAAGTGAAAAGAGCAAGGACTTACAGCCAAGATTACTCTACCCAGCAAAGCTATTGTTTAGAATCAAAGGGCATCTGAGAGTTTCCTGCCAGTGTTCTCCTCTAGGACTTTTATGGTGTTACAACTTATATTTAAGTCTTTTAACC